CATAGTCAATCATTTTAAGCCTTGGAATTACCATGATGATTTAATTGTAGTTTGGCTAGCACACAATTTTGGGTACACTGACCTAGATAATCATTATATAAAATTGAATGCTTACATAGTAGATATTTATTTAATGCTTTAATTGTTTAATTTATGGATTTATTGGTACTACATCATCTCAAAAATGTTTATTGATACTAATTTAAAGTTGACTATAATATAGTTCACAAGCAATAATTAACTAATGAAATAAATAATATGATTTAGAAACATAAATTAAAATCAGTCAATTAATTGTTCACTAGAACTATCAAAAACAATTCTTGACACATTTCAAACACTGACGATACCTTACATTAAAATAGGAGGACGAGATGATTATTTTTGGCAACTTGAAAGTGGCAATAAATTGAGCAGTAGGCCTCTAGTGAAATGATTTATTCACATCTTCTGGAAGATTTATAAAATGCTGACTATTAAACCTGTTATCCCCCTTACTAGTGAGTGTAAACTAACAGGATCAAAATAAGGTGGTAAATTCTCCTATCACAGCTAAAAAAGGCAAATAAATCTTACAAACACAAGTTGTAATCCATAATATATTGATTTAAGAGAGAGTGTTTGATGATGACAGTAAGTCAAAAAGGAAACATTTTCGTAGGACCAGAATTAAAATAAGAAAAGCATGTAATCACGGCCTTCTGCCATTAATTATCTTAACGATGATGATTTTAGTCAAAGAACAAAAACACTCAAAGTGTAGACTAATTTAGGTCATCATTTAGTACAGAAGATAAGATCAATTTGGTAATTTGCAAATCAGAGCTTGTATGATGCATTTCAAAAAATTCACTAAGTTTGACTTTTTCTTTTAAAGCATAAAACAGTAAAATTTGCCAAGTGTGTTATGTATCAGAGAGTTATTTCCTAGCATTATATAATAAACTGAGAAATATGTAGGGCAAAGAAATTCTTTTCTATTCTTATATATATATTAATATCATCTTTATATTATATTTGAAAGGTATGAGCTGACCAAGAATGTGGTAGTATTTTTAAATGTACACTATGGCTACTTTTTTCAAAGTAATAGGAAATGTTACAGAAATCTACATCCTATGTGAAGTATATTCAAAAAGAATGAACTCTGCATATGACAAATGAGATACTGTAATGTTCTACAGTCAATAAGAGCACCAAAGGAATTGAATAGGATATTTTTCCTTTTGGATTTGAAGAATACAAAGTATTTATCATTAAACTTCTATTTCTAATTAAAATAATCTGAGCCAAAATTTAGCATTTATTATTTCACTGTATTCCCTCCCTCCCTCCCTCCCTCGCTTCCTCCCTCCCTTCCTTCTTTCTTTTTTAATGCAAAGGAAGAGGCAATGGTGGGGGTAAGGACTGCATAGTGTCAGCGCTTTATTCCTTCCCATGATTACAGCATTCTGGCCACTAGATGGTGCATGGGGTGGAGAGTGGGAGATGTAAGGATAGACTTCATATTAGCACATGACAATATATGAATTTTTATCCTACTTGTACAAAAAAAATTTTTACTGTCATAAAAACATTGTTCTCAGATAATGGCTGAATGACTACAATAAGAAGCATATTGTCAGAATCTTTTTTTAAAAAATTACCCACAGTGTGATAAACCGACTCAGTATTACAGATTATTTAAACTAAAATGAGGCATTTAGCTACCGGTAAGTATTCCTGTTAAAGCAGAACCATAGGGATAAATGTTTCACAAACACATCTCCCCAGGCCTACTTTCTTGATGTGTGATTACAACAAATTTAAAAAAAAGGTTATTTACAATAAATAGTAAAGAAGACAGTTTGCACATTGAGGTCAATGAATTTCAGAATTAAGTGCAAAATGATGCTAATATTGTTTCAAAGAGAAAGTCAAACCATCCTTTCAATCAAACGGATAAGATTGGTGTTAAGTTGCAGATGACCAAAGTAATCATTTGACATTATCACAGTAGCAGATAAAAGACATTAATGGGTCACAGACAATGAGGAAAAGAAATAGAAACTGTGGAATTTTCCTTTTTGCAAAATAATTCATTTTGACTAAACTTTCAAGAGAAATGAATAGCAG